GGTTAAACAAGCGTTCATAATTAATTTAAATAAATCACAAGTTAAAAAGGGCATGGACATTTCTTCTTTTTTTTTTAATCGAAAAAATATCGAACCGTGAGACTAAAGTATTGAACCGAACCGAGTCGTGGATTTTCTGCACCCCTAGTGCAGTTGTATGCTAAGTGTGGAATCAGTAAAATGATGCAATATTTAAATTCAGCCCTATTATTTTTAAAGGTCTATATGTACTTAACTGAAACATTTAATTTACCATATGTATATTGAAACATGTAAAAAAGCTAGCATTGTACTGTACATTAGGGTATTTAATAATAGCAGTGTTTAACTTCATGTTTGCTTGCTTCAGACACACACAGTGAGCATCACCTCTACCCGCCTGTGACTGGTTGTGCACAGTCATATTACGGCTGCTGTCCTGATGGTCAGACCTCTGCAACCGGACCCAGAAACCAGGGCTGTTCTTTAGATGGCTGCGCTCGCAGGAGGTGAGCTGATGCATGCATCTGATCTTTGACTCCATTAAATGAGACAAAGGTTTCTAAAGATAAACAACAAACTGACAATGCAAAATTTAAAAAAAAATGTTCCTAGGTATGGCTGTTGTTCAGATGGAGTCACACCAGCTCAAGGAGTTGGAGGGGCTGGATGTCCTGAGTATCAGACAACTGAAGTAGGAAGCAAAACTTTTCCCCCCATGTTATACTTAAAATCTTCAAAGTAACTTATTGTGCTGTACAGACACATACGTGCATCTTATCTTTTTGTACATTTTTTTATGTGGGCCTGCAACTATTTTAACATAAATAAATGTTGAAATGGTAGCTTTCTGTCTTTTGTGGGGCTAAGTGTGAAATAAAATGTTTAAAATGTCTCTAACACATTTTCATTATAGCGTTAGCYGCGTTAGATGTCGTCATCCTGCGACAAAAACAACTGCTAACGCTGCTAAAGCTGCTGAAGATGACATTAAAAAAATTTATTCAAAATATTTTCACTGAAAACTATGAATGCTGCCTGTGGTCCAGAAGTTTGAAATGCAGTTTAGACATCATTAGCAGCGTTAGCAGCATTAGCAGCATTAGCAGCGTTAGCAGCGTTAGCAGCATTGCTATGGTCTCAGGATGATGACGTCCTAACAAGAGCTGCCCACGAACAGCAAAAGCTGCGTTCCGTTTTCAAACACTTCAACGCAAACTTTAACATTTAGCCACAACATTTAGGATTTAACTTTTATATTTAGATTTAACCTACACATTTAGATTTAGCTTTCAATATTTTCAAAAAGAAAAAATAAGTAGGTCCTCTGGATGGGTTCTTCTTTAGTGAAACATTTTGCCTCTCATCCAAGAGACTTCTTTAGTCTGATGAGTTTCAGGTGAACTCAGCCTTATAAGCACAGCCTCCACATGGACAAACAGGTTAGTCACATGCAAAAGAGGGCCATCGCCTAACAATAGGCTTGATTAGCTCTATTGTTCATAGAGGGTCATGTGCCCCATCACCTGGCTCGTGTCGTGTTATGTGTATGTAGTAAATGCAAGCAGGGGTTCAAGGGACGACAAGGGACGTTGAACCCCCGCTTGCATTCACTACATACACATAACACGACATGAGCCAGGTGATGGGGCACATAACCCTCTGTGAACAATAGAGCTAATCAAGCCTATTGTTAGGCGATGGCCCTCTTTTGTATGTGACTAACCTGTTTGTCCATGTGGAGGCGGAGCTTATAAGGCTGAGTTCACCTGAAACTCATCAGACTGAAGAAGTCTCTTGGAGGAGAGATGAAACGTTTCACTAAAGAAGAACCCATCCAGAGGAACTACTTATTTTTTGTTTTTGATTTTTTTCTACCAGGATTACTGAGATGAATCAGGACAATCAATATTTTAAACATTCAAATTTAACATTTATTACAAATCAGTAAAATGTAAGAATAGTGAGCTAATTGCTCTAATGTTAGTGGAAAATGTTTCACTAGGATTTTACACTCAGAAAGTGAGCTAAATATTGAAAATGTGTTATTTTATGCTTGGTGCCCGACATTGTCTGTCACATATATTCTAAAATGTTCAAACATGATTGACGCTTTCTTCTTCTTTTCATATCAGCATCAGCCATCGCGACCCGTCGATTCGCCCGCTGCCAACGTGTGCTCCCTGCCTCGTGACGAGGGTGCTTGTGAAAGGTGGACAGTGCGCTTCAGCTTTGACAACGGGAGTRGCAAATGCAAGGAGTTCTGGTACGGTGGCTGCCACGGCAATGCCAATAACTTTGTCTCCATGGAGGCATGCCAGAGGGAGTGCGGTGGTGTCGGGAGGGAGCCTGCATCTGTGAGGGTGACCCCAAGGAGGGGCTCACTTGGAAGCATTGCAAGAGCAATGGCGCACCGTGCTCGTGTCTAGCTGACACACCTTCTCCATAATCCAAATCACACTTGCCCAAAAATCTAAAGACAGATGGCTCAATCTTAGCAAACCTTTCCACATTCCTATCACGATGATTGAGTTTCTTCAATTCAATACAGTTCTTTGCAAAAGTCTTAATTTCTGCCCAAGAAGTCTAACTATCTTGTGATTTTTAGAAGTAAAACTCTACAATTGTTTTAGGAAGCTTTTGAAGGTTTTTCTATATATTTTTTTCCAATGTTAGATGCTTTTTTATTCTTTTTATTTGTCCTTTATTTGTTTGTTTTCACAAGAAATACACCAAGACCTGACAGGACACAGATGCACCATCCTACATCTGGTACACCAAATATACAGTATGTCAGGACCTCTAGATGGACCAAAAACTGTTTCATCCATTACTCCATTTTTTTTTCTAAATCTTGACAAATTTGTTGTTAATGTTTTCTTTATATTCATCTGTACTTTGGCCTAGTCACATCATGAATAGAGTTAATAAAGTCTCATTAATCAATACCTTCTGACTTTTTTGTGATTTATTTATCTTTACATTTATTTGACC